TGGGGGAGGCCGAAGGAAAAGAGCGACCGCCGTGCCGGCCGGGTGATGCCGGGTGAGTGCTCCTGCAGGCAGTATATCTCGCTTCAGAACGTCCCGCGGCCTCGTTTGCTCCCACTGCCACACTGGGCTGAACGCGGCACAAACGCGTGGAATAGCAAATGTGTATACATCAACAAATTTGGTTCATGTAGTTTCAATTAATGCTTTTTTTCTGGAACTTCTCAAACATTAGTTATTGCTTTCTTTTGATTATGGTTAAACGTGCTAAAGGCTCGTTTAACCGTAATAAAAAAAATAAGCATAAACAAGAGAAAGAAATTACTGAAGATTGCGCAGATTAGCTACAACTTTACAGGGAGCAAAAATTACAAACCCTATACTGCAAATAGAACGGTTTAAAACACATCGATATAATTCGAAATTTATTGCTATACAAAACATTGTTTTTTGGTTAGTTTAGAGCTGTTAGTATGAGTATAAAGCATATTCAAAATTATCCTTTGGATCTCTGAATGTCAGTTGTTCCACGGTGTGATAAGTCAGGTGCGCTATGCTGTTTTGGGGAAGTGGTGAGTTCATTCGCGCCAGCCAAGAAAAAAGCCAACGGTGTTAAACGTTTTGAACAGAGACCGCGAGTTTGGCTCTACGTAGGGGAATCCTTCCTTGAAGTAATGACCCACAACAAAAGTGCCGATCTTAGGGTCGACTGTGCGGAACTCATAGTCGCATACTCCGTTCGCATTAATCGTGCGCGGTGTGTTGACAATATCACACGTTCTACCCTACGCATAGATTATCGTGCGGCAACACAATTTCAACACGTTCACGTAAAAAGCACAGTCGTAAATCGTAAACCGTGTACGTAATCGCAGACGTCTATCGCAATGCAATGTCATAAGTCTCTCCAAGTTTGTATTGTCAATATAAACTTTTTCCATAATTTCGGAATGATGGCTATGTACAACTTCCTTTTGAGAGAAATGGCATCATGAACGATAATTTTAAAAAATCTCACGGATCAGAAGGCAACTTTGAAGCATTTTCTCGACTTCCTGGGTCTACTAAAACTGTGTGGAACTTATATTGTTGCGCCCACGGGTTCACCTATGCGTGACCCGCCGGGACAAGCCGTTCTTGTGGGGCAGTACTTTCGACATAAAAACTTTTTGACTCAGTTTCCTTTTAAAGTTGATCATCAGTATTTCTTCTGCAGTAGTTAACAAGGAAAAAAATAATATGATGATACTGAAATCACAATGTGCAGATAACATACTACATTACTTTAAAACTGTAACACGTTGCGCAGATAAAATTACTTAGAAACATTGTTATTTTTATGAC